AGGCAATTCTCAAGGGCACGGAGATTGGCACTGATACGAGGGCATGTAATCGTGTCCACAACGGATGGAGTGACAGAGTCAAAAGGTCCACGTAGGATCAGTAGGCTCAAATGTAGGGAAGAGTGTAGATGAAGTAGTTCACGATGAAGCACTTCCTGAGCCGCAGCGGGTAGGCCGGAATGTGAAGTCACGTCCGTAGGTCGAGTAGATGTCGTCGAAGGTGGCAGCGACATGGCAATGAAGCGATGGAGGTGAGCTCAAGTAGAGGGGTATAGATCTTGGGGACGCTGTGAGCCAGGTAGAACCAAAAGAGTAAAGTCAAAGGAATCAATCATGGAGTAAGTCAGAAAAACAACTGGGTAGAAAGAGTAAAAGGCGTTTTTGGACTCAAGGTGAAAGAATAAGCGAAAGACAACCTAGAGATTCCTAGGAGTCGAACGAGAGTGAGACCGGGACCGTGGTGAAGCTGTACTGGATCGATTGAGTACTGGACGACGTGGACGTAAAGTAGATGGGGTTCTCGGCGGAGGAATCGTAGAGGTGCCCGGAAAGGAACTGGTAGATGGTGTACTCCGTGTCGTAGCCGGGCCCCGAGGAGAGGTAGAAATCATGGGAAAAGAAGGAAGACGAGGGTCAGGAAAGGTCGAACATCCGCGTAATTCAGCATCAACCTGAGTGTTGTCACAGTTCACGGTGTGCATCATCCCAAAAGTGGTGAGAAGTTCGTTGACATAGTGCACTCCGTTGTGGATGGCCTGAGTCGCTTGCCGAATCGCAGAATCAAGACCTCGAATTTGTAGCTGAATGTGCGGTGAGGTGATGTAGTCCATGAAGGAGGGGTTGAGAATGGCGAAACGGGTGCGAAGAAGGGAGATGGCGAGAATCAACAAACCATGTAGATGAAGAATTTCTCGATGTAGGATAGTCTGGGCTCTCATCGTGACGCCGTCCACGGGGTTGAGGCCAGCTGGAGAAGGGAACATGGCGAGAGGAGGAGGATCAACTGAAAAACTAAGGCTCCAACAGGTTCCAATGAACCTAAAACTGGCTTTGACCGCTCTGGTCACCTTGTGCCTTGCCGAAATGGCTGGCTGCTTCGACCGCTGCGGTCACGTAAAGGCATGAGCCAGCTTGGAATTCCAAAAATGAGACATAAATCATCGGACGTACGGCATTAGCCATTTACTGTCCGCTGTGGACATCTGCGTTCCCAAAGCCGGGGGAACATGGACGTACACCCGTTCGACGGGTCCACGGGAGGCACTCTGCGGGCTCATCCCGGGTTGGCACGAAGCCAAACACACTCATGGATATGCGTACTGATGTGAATGCGGTGCCACACGCCGGCCTAGGGTTCCAATTCCTAAGAATACCGGTAGGGACCATCGGAGCCTGGAGGTCTTAAAAGGAAAAGAGGCCCAAAGCACAAGGGCGAGGTCGGCGATCAGGTCGAAGTGACGGCGTTCCGTGCGTGACTGCGGCAACGTGAAGTATCGAGTCTTTGAGGTTCTGGGCTTAGCCTCATGCCATGCAGACAAATCGGAAGATCGCAGGTACGTTCGGATGATCAGTCCGAATATCCCACTCTGTGACCTAGCTTCGTTGAACTGGGTCAGTCACAGAGTGCCCGGTTCCCCTGCGGTAAAACAAATGCAAAGGCATCCCTATGACTCCAAGGGTGACACACACACACACACACTCGCACTCACACTCACTCTCCCACTCTCACCCGCGCTCGCACTCACACTCACTCACTCTCACTCACACTCATTCTCATCCACACTCACTCCCACTCACACTCACTCTCACTCACACTCGCACTCCCTCACACACTCACTCACACTCACTCTCTCACTCTCACTCACACTCACTCTCCCTCACCCACACTCACTCCCACCTTCAGTCTCACTCGGTCTGCGACTCTCACTCACACTCACACTCCCTCACACTCTCACTCTCAAGCACACTTACTCTCACCCACACTCACTCTCACTCAAACTCGCACTCACGCTCACTCTCCCACTCTCACTCACACTCTCACTCTCACTCTCACCCACACTCACTAACACCCACCTTCACTCTCACTCACGCTCACTTACACTCACACTCACTCTCACTCTCACTCTCACCCACACTCACTCTCACTCACACTCGCACTCACACTCACTCTCCCACACTCACTCACACTCACACTCCCTCTCACCCACACTCACTCACACCCACCTTCACTTCATCACCACCATCACCTCTCTGGACCCCAATGCGCCTAGACACACACTGTTTGGGGTCTCTTGCCGGGATAATTGTTCACTCTTTTGGGTTTTGCTCTTGGAGAGCAGAAACTTCATACCACCACCACCACCACCACCACCAGGTTTTGGGTAAGGCCATTAGACTCGACTCAATATTCTTTACATCCTTTTGCCAGTTACTGACAAGATACCCACAAAAAATGTGTCTCAAAAAGCAGGAGACATAGTCTGAGAAACCTCCCTGGTCACCAACTCAAGCGGCTGCAAGGTTGGACTTGAAAGGACATGTGGCGCCAAGAACTTAGAGAGCTCACAACGCCGCACCAGCATGCCCAAACAAAAAGCCGATCCAGCACCAGCATCGGCAAAACGAAACGCCGATCCATAGCCACACCACACCATTGAGAAGTGAGAACCCATATAGTTTGCAGATATCTGGGGAAAAAGAATCTGGAAAACAAACATGTGCACGTGTTCAAAAATGGACGATCGATCGAAATGATCGTAATGGGTTGGGCAGCTTCTTTATGGGTCTGGTCATGTCTACAAGATTTGGGTCAGTCAAGACTGAAGCTCAAGAGACCTCAATCTGCTCCATGTGATGTTTCAAAGACGTTAATTCCCAAAGATCTGCTCCTCAAGAGATCACGAGCATTTGGAGACACAGGTCCAAGGCCTCCAACAAATCAGCCGCACAAGCAAGACTCGGAAGAGATTATCTGCAATGATTCGAGCTTAAGCTTGTAAGATCTTGTCGGGTCAAGAAGGAAACCGTTGCATTGCATCAGCAGTCGGCCAATCCTCAATCCGCACCAACGGCCAACGGCCCCTTCGTGAGACTCACACCTAACGGCTCTAGCGTGACATCTTGTGGGCCAACAGGAGCTCCTGGCGCAGAACGCTTCCTTTATTTATATAAATTTGCAAAAAAGATCTCTGCACTCTGCACGGCCCTGGAGAGAGAGCCAGCCTTGGCGATTGGACGACAGAAATTTGGCGGCCTCAAGCAGACATGAATGACATGAAACCCAAGGCGATAAGCTCCTGCAAAGCCTGTCACTCGCAGTGCTTCACGGGACTAGCTGGTCAGACGAGAGAAAATCGGAAGGTATGAACATAGGCAAGACCTCAAAGGACTTTCGCAGGAGAAGAATTGGCCATGGCTCCACTTGAACCGAGTCCAACATTGTCCGACAGAGCCAGCTGCTAAGCTGGCTCAGTTGTGTGGGTGGATGAAAGTCCAAAGGAAAATGCCCAACCAACCCCCCTGCCTGCTCGGAAAAGAACCACCTCTGCTGCGATAAGGATAGCTCGGATCGGGCCAGCTTGGCCGCAAGGCCCATGGAGGAACAATCTCTGAATAGAAAAGCTTTCGGAAAACCTGTAGAGTCGATAGGATCTTTTCCCAGCTAAAAATGCTTGCTGCTTTAGAAAGCGCACTCTGAAGATCTGAGCCCTTAAATTAGGAAATTGCAAGGTGAAGCGAGCAAAATAAGAAATCTGAACCCCTGTGTTCAGACTCGCATTGTGCTATGGGGAAAGGACTTGAAATCGTAGGAAAATATATCAAACTTTGGTGTCATTTTGGAGCTTGGGCCAAGAAAAGGGACAAGTCCAAGTCCAATGTCGACTGTGGACTCCGCAGACCCAACATTCCCAAGTTGGACAGCAAACAGCCGCGTTTTGGATCGGCTCCCCAGCAGGGCACGCCCAAAATCCCAGACGAACGGAATGTGAGGTGGCCAAGCAAGCAAAAAAACGTGCCCACCAGGTGGTGAGACAGAGTTTGATGTTCGGTGCCCTCACACATTCCAGGACGACTCCTGCACAGAGATTTTGAGATCAATTGAGTTGGAAGAACGTCTCAGCCGCTACAACACAACAACCAGAACGTCTCAGCCGCTGCTTCCAATCATTCTGGAGTGGCGCGGCCTCGGCAGACTTGTCACGGGTCTCCACCTTGTCACAGGTCTTCACCTGCACCGTAGGAAGGTTGAGCAGGGCAATTGTTTTTAGGTCAGAGTGACAGTGCTGCATCTCCTTTTTAAACATGTCACGTTTTGAGCACCTTAGCCAGATTAGCCTGACAGGCTGTCCAAACAAGTGCAGAAAATTCCTCAATGACAGACACAACTCGGGCAGGGGCCCTTGGTGTAGCCTTTTGGAATGTTCAAACCCCTCCACACTCACCCAAAAAGGAAAACCGCTTCTGCACAACACCGAGTCGACCTCACGTTCTTGGCCTCGGTCTTGCAGAGTGGGCAGTCCGCTCGGCGGAACAGCCAAAGGTCGATGCAGGAGCGATGGAAGGTGTGACCGCAAAGACTGAGCTTGCGCGCCTTGGACTCCCAGCGAAAAAACTGTGAGGAAGTGACTCCAATAGAGAGGCAACCTGCCAGTAGCTACTAGTAGCACAACGGCTCTTGTTTTGTTGAATGGACCTTTCCAGCCTTTCCTCTTCTCTTCTCTTCTCTTCTCTTCTCTTCTCTTCCTTCCTTCCTTCCTCCCTTTCCTTCCCGTCCCTTCCCTTCCTTCCTTTTTCCTTTTGCAAAAACACGACGTCGTGCTCGACGTGCAACATCGAGTAGAACAGCTGAGGGGCCGACGCTCTCGCCAGCGCAAAGCTCCGTGAGACAGATTGGACAGTCCTTCAAAGCTCCGTGGGCCAGCGCCCCCGAACTGGGATCGGTGGAAACACTCCGAGTAGCTGATGAATTCAATTGAATTCTGCTCGTCGTAGTTGAGGAAGTTGAGCTAACGTCTGGTCACGGAATGTTGGAGGATAAGGTAAAAGATATTTATCCAGAGGGCCATTGCAAATGTCAATTGAGTTTGTTAGGTTTGTCTAAGAATCCTTGGGTCTATGTCTGTGTGAGTTTCAATCTTTGGTGTCAATCTGTGTCTCTGTGTCCTCCATAGCCATAGGACTGTCCACCACCATGAGGCCAGGTAAGGCGGCAATCTCGCAGTTTGGTGGGCAAAAAACACTGCGTAAGAAGCGAACCCGACCAGCGTAACTGCTCCCACGAGCACTCACGCGCGCGCGCGTCTCACCCGCCTCTTTAGCTTTCAGTCCTCCTTCCCGGTCACCAAGACCTGGGACAGAGGTGTAGCTCTGCAAGCGACTCACCTTGGAGAACGAAGCCGTTGAGAACAGCTGTGAATTGTCCCGCATCAGGCCGTGTCCAAGCATGAGCTCCAGACTTGTCCCCATCTTGACAGCAAATCTTGATCCTAAAGAGAAAAGAGAAAAGCACCAGAAAATGTTTGGAAATAAATAAAGAAATGATAACATGAAAAAAATGCAAAACAACGCTTCACACTTTGTTGCAAGTTTGTTGGCTGTGATGACACTGCGTGGCTTGGGCGTGTTAGGACTCCAAGCCTCCAATTGCCGCAAGTCTCCTTCTGCTCGGAGTAGTCTTCGCTCCAAATACCTGCCATTGCTTGAAGCATAGGGGGTCTCTAGATGTCTCTGGTGACTCTCGGGCACCACGCCATGATGCCCAAGCCACAGTGGACAATGATCCATAAATAACTCAGTGCCTGGTTTCGAGCCCAAACAGGAAATGTGAAGAAAAGGACGTTTATTTTGGCCTGCCACACGATCAAGAACCTGAATCCCAGGAGCACTCCGGAACTTCTGGAACATGTTGATCACTCATGCTGTCACTTAATTCGTCACGTCTACTCTTCTCACAAAGGCGCTGGCCAAAAGTGAGCACCACCTGGAAGGCACTGAGGAGTGTGGTTCATCACCTCCCACACCCATGCACTGCCCACCTCGAATGTAGAAGAGGAGTCCAGGAGTCCCGGAGTCCCCGAGAGGTTTCGGACACAGAGCAGTTTGTGTCTTCTCAGCTTGCTGCCATGGACCAGATTGTGAAGGCCGGCAAGATCACCTGTGCTGTGCCAAGCGTGTAGCATCAGCCCAAGCAGCCAAAGCAGTGTGTCGCTTTCGAAGCTGACGGGTAGTTGCGTGGCCAAGGAAGTTTCCCATCATATCCTAGTGGAGAGGCACCAGCCACATCATGGAAAGAAGAAGCCGCACAATTGCACTCTTCTGGCGAAGGTTCAGCCTAGACACCGCTGAGGTTCGGAATTGAGAAATTGGGTACAAATCTTGCAGATCGCAAACGAGTACAGCCACAAAAAGAGCTCCTACACTCTCGGGCATTCCAATTCAATTGCTCTCAGTCAAAAGCATGAACTCGCTGTCGTTGTGGGACCTAGAGCAAGCCACCAATGATGGACAGGTTGGTTGCCAAATCTCATTGAGTCCGCGGCATGAGAGCACCCGCTATATGGACCAGTCTTGACATCACAACCAAGCCATAGCTCAACAGGAGCCATTTGTGGATGGGACGTCGGCAGCTTGCAAAGCCATCCCATTCGTATTGGATGTCGATACACATGTAGAGCAATGACCTTGGTCAACTTTACTTTACTAGTACACAATGAATGCCCTTTGTTCAAACAGCCACGATCCCCAAACTAGGACAGCTCTCCCACAAGCCACAAATGCGGGTTGCAACGGTTTAGACAAAGATCCGGACACCACAAGGACGCCGTCATTCCAACCAACCTCTCGTAGAGATTTGATAAACCGCTCACAAAAAGTTATAAAGGCGTTGTGCTTAAGGGCCCGAATGGTGGAATTTCCGTGGGAGCCCACTTGGCACGCTTCAGCAAGCATCCCACTTCCCAGCAAATTTCAAGCTAGACAGACTTGCCTCAAGCTGAAACGGTGTCTGGCCTTGGAGTCGACCATTTCTTCTTTGTGCTACACAGTACCTTTGCCAAGTCAACTTGTGCAAATGTGTTAACATCAAGCAAGTTGAAAGCCCCACTTCCACCGATACTTGCCAACTCCAGCTGATGAAAAAACACAAAATCCCATGCGGCAGCAAGGATAGGTAGAGGAATTGAAACTTCCCCTTGGTTCCACTTTCCTCTAGGTCAATGTCCTTATCACGCTTGCTTCAACTGCAGCCAAAATGCAAGGGGTTCGGCTTGTAGAGAACGCAAGCGGAAAGGGTACTTGCTTGCGAAGGACAAGAAGGGTAGAACTTGAGACTTGCAGCCGCAGGAACGCACAAGCCAAAGTTTTGCAAAATCTTGAGGCGACTTGGAAAGAGTTATAATCAAAAATCAAAAACGTAATTTGTAGGTCCACCTGAAAAGCCGGTATTGAACATATCGCTGTACATGTCTGTACTGCTACCCAACTTGGACTCGCAAGCACAGGGGTAGGCTACTGGACTGTCAAAACAAAAAAACGTTCAATCTCCTCAGCAAATGTTAGCCTCTGTGGGCGCAAAGCAATGTTCTTGCATTGGGGACATCAACCATCGCGACAGCTGCAAACCTGGCACAGCGACACATACACTTGAGGCCTGCAGCGATAAACAAGAGCTAGGGCAATCTGTTGCAAAAGTACAACACTCTCAGCACTATGTAATCTAGTTCAATGAATCAACGATGCTTAACAGTAACGCCCAGCTTAAGGTTATTTATTGATGCTACTTGTCGCCGCTGAGCATCAACGATGCTTGAACGAAACGGCCAACTTAGGGTTGTCTTGGAGGGGTTCTAGTGGAAAATCACTCTGTTGGTCTCAGGCCTCAAGTAAGCAAGAACATACTCAGCTAGCTAAGTCGCTTTCGTGATTTGCTCTCGACACTCCAAATAACCATTTTCATACGTGGCAAAACAGTACTGACTCTGTGACCACGACATTGGACAAAATGTTCTGAAATGTTCTGAGACTGGAGTTCATATTCAGGCAAAGTCCATTTCATACATGTTCACACACTTTCCTTATCACAAATTATCTGTCCTCAACTTGAAGACATTCTAGCCGATACTGTGCATCAAAGCATTGCACCTCCTCCACAAACATCTTCGCAAGGGGTATCAAAGTCTTGTCCTCTGCCATCTGCACCTCCATCACTCCACGCTCTTAAATATCGAGCTGACCCAAAGAAGTCATGCTTATGTGGAGGGCATCAACCTCAGAAGGGAGGAAATCGATCGTTAAAATACATGTTCAAGTTCCTGTGATGCCCACCTGGGTTTCACGACCTGCTTATGAACCACTCACGACCTGCTTATGGCGGTGCAGATTCAAGGCCTTCTCGTCAGAATCTCTGCCATTTCTTGATGATGGGCTCTTGAAACGAATAATTGCTGCAAAGTCAGCGAGTCAGCAAACCTAACCCGGAATCCTGCCTCAGACCAAACAAAGTCCCAACTGCTGGCATCGCGTATTTGCCCAAGGCCAACTCTTTCAAGAAATAGTCAAATAGTCTGCCTGTCAGCTTTCGGCGAGTTGAAGGTTCCTGCAGTGAAACCTGGGACGAACTGGAGGTTCCATCTTGACAGTTCAAGAAATCCACTGCCCACCGTACTTTGTCCTGCCTGGAACATGACATCCCCGACACCTGTGCCTGCCAACTATTGATTCTGCTGAAAATCAGAACTCTGAACCAATGCATGAAAGCTGTCAGATCGAAGCAGCAAAAGGCATCAATGCTTACGGGACTTCTTAATGCCCATGCATTGATTTGTGGCATCCAAAATATGCCTTTAAATGTTTCCTTGCTTTTTTTGCCCTCGGCGTGCTGGCCCGAAGTCTGCGTCTCCTCTGGCTCAACCTCAAAGTGGAGGCAAAGGATGTCGCTCGCTTGGCGCTCGGCATGGACGCCTCATCGGCAGCCGGCTTGGAAAAAACGAAGTTGTCTTCAGCAGAAAGAGCGTTCACCACTCCATGGATTCTGGAAGGAGTGGGAAATAGACTTCCCCCTTCTCCCACACTGGAGGGCCGTTGGCTTTCAAGCTAAATTCAGGACAACTCCAATTTGTCGGTTCCGGTGCTGCGCGCATCCTCTCGAGAAAGCCTTTCCATCCTCCTCCGAATCGCTTTTCCAATGCTGCTTCCAGCGATGGAACTTTCGCCAACAAGGAGTTGTCAGAGAACTTGGCAAGCTTATCATCCTGTATCTCAAAGACGTTGGGATGGCGATAGTGATTGACCGCTGCAACCGTGAGTGGAACATCGTCACGCATGCCCGAGACCTGTATAGGCTGATGGACTGAAACGAGATCGACTAAAGATACTTTAGCAGCATATTTCTTGCCTTTGTCCTCAGGGATACTACAATACCGAGGAGATGATATGTCCAAGCTCCCTGCTGGGGCTCTTGCAAAGCGGAGCTTTCTGAAGAAAATGGTACTCAAAGGACCTTTCTCCTGTCTGCCATCCATCAGGGAGGTCACATCTTGTTCTGGCAAATTCACTCTCAAATACTCATCTCTCATCTACATCCAGGCTTGGCAGCAACCATCTTGCGTGACCTTTTGCCCGATAGAGGCAATCATTGAGAACCATTCGTTGTTGGACGCAAGGTGAGCACCAGCATTTGTCTGCAGGCATGTCGAGGTGAACTCTGGTCACTACTCCTTCATCGATGTATGGTTGGTACACTTCCTGCAGCGCTGGTGACATATCGCTTGTTGTGTAAATGATGAAATGATGAACTCCATGCATAAGGTGATATTCAATCCACTGCGGAAAGCTTTCGAGGCCTGAAACATTTGCATCAGGATCGTTCCAAAGATTTCGCACGCAAGCCATCGTCTCATACTGCTTCAGTAAGGATGGCTTGTAGTTGGCATGTACTTGTCCTATGATATCTCCATTGGGAAGTTCCAGAAAGACATCATACTCTCCGGTCATTGCATCTTCTTTTGGCCAATCACAAGTAAAGATCGACAATATATCCGAAGGTGCAAACAAACGGAGTTGGGTTCTGTGAGATCCGTTTGGTCCTGTGCAGAAAAAACTATGATTCTGCACATACTTCTGGAGGCCAGCAGTATTGTTGTGAATCAAGGCAATGTAGTTGTCCTGGTCCGTAAAGACAGGCACAGCACTCAAGAACTGCAGCTCGAAGTCTATCTCATCCGTGTAAACCTCCATCCGCTGTGACAGAGAAACACTTGCCAAATCCCGTGTGCTTCTCCATGACTGACTTGTGTTGGAAACAAACCTGCTGACCTGGATGAGTGCCTCGTTTTCGGTTTCAGCCACATGGCGCTTTCCGTCTCCACAATCCACGGTCACCAAACAGAGAAGAGCAAAGAACGGGCCATGGAGCGAGAGAGTAGACATGTTTAGATTCTTTACAGTATCAAGAATGGAGCCACTCAAAAAGGCTGAAGCAAAAGTGCAAGTTTTGTTGTCTTCAAGCCAGCGCTTTGGTCGCTCTGCTCTCAGCATGTTTAATCTACTCAATAATAAACCCACATTGTTTTATCCGAGTGCAAACCTGGAAATCCCCTTGTAATCTCTTGCAGCCATGGTGCGTTTCTATTGTCCGGTCGTCTCCATGTTTGGGTGCGCGAGATCCAAAGAAAAGAGGCATTCTTTTTGCTGCAGAAAAATCCCTGCGAAAGTCACATGAGCCAGTTTGCAGGTGTGTTTTCTGATCTAACAAACCGCAACCTGCAGACATATTTGCGGCGCGCCTACAAACTGCAGATGTACAAGTCGCAAGTGTGGTCCTTCCCCATATAGAAGAGCAAGCAGATCTGTAGCGCAAACCGTTTCTACTGACTGAAGAACCCTTCGCAAACGCTCCAGCATGAAAGAAAACCTTTCAATTTCCTCAGAAAACGTTGGCCTCTGCGTGCGCAAAGCAATGTTCTTACGTCGGGGATCAGCCATCACGACAGCTACAAACCTGGCGCAAGCGTGAGCGAAAGCGCAACACTGTCAACACTTTGTAATCCAAGTTCAATGAGTCAACGTTGCTTAACCGTAACGACCCGCTACTGAAACGAAACGGCAAACTTAGGGTTACCTTGAAGGGGTTCCTCCAGCTAATCCGTTCTCATACGTGGCAAAACAATACTGACTCCGGCGAAATCCACGTCATACGTGTTCAGACACTTTCTCTCTCACGAAATACGTGTCCTCAGCTTGCCGACATTGCAGCCGATACTGCGCGCCAAACATTGCACCTCCACAGCCATCGTCACAAGGGTATCAAAGTCTTGTCCTCTGCCATCTGCACTTCCATGACTCCACTCTCATTAATATCAAACTGACCCAAAGAAATGAACTTGAATCATGCTTATGTGCAAGGGCATCAACCGATCGTGAAAATAATTCTTCAAAATCCTGTGATCCCGCTTGCATCTGAAAATGAACCGCTCACGACTGACGGCCTGCTTATGGCTGACGGCGCAGATTCTTTTTGATGGTGGGTTCTTGCAACGAAGGTTAGTTGCAAAGTCAACAAACCAAACCCGGAATCCTGCCTCAAACCGCACAAAGTCCCAACTGCCGGGCGTGGTGCAATTGCCCAAGGCCAACCCTTTCAAGAAACAGTGCGCCAGTCAGTTTTCGTCAAGTTGAAGGTTCCTGCAGTGAAAACTGTGAAGAACTGGAGGTTCCAACTCCGCCGCCCACTGTACTTTGTCTTTCCTGCCTGGAACATGGCATCTCCGACGGTTGCCTGCACCTTTGGAAGTGGACATTGCAACCACACCACCCCAACAAGAATTGAACAAAACGCTCACACGCACAGTCCAATCCAAAACATGGGATCTAAATTCCAGGCCACAACTTCAAGCGGGTACAGGCGGAGGTGGACAATGATCAATGGAAACAAGGTGGGCTCAGTTCCCATACCTTTGAGTTTGCTGCGAACTGGCGTAACCCCCAAAGGCCGCTGAAAAAGAGAACCAACACCACCCGCATTTGGGGTATGACTTTCAATGATGATGCTGACAACGCAATTCTGGCGACACATGTCCTGGCAAACAGCCGCGACGCGCTACGCGACACATTCCTGACAAGGCATTTCCCCCTGGCGGCGCACTTCAACGACACATGACGGGCATGGGGCGTGGACGCAAGTTCGTGGTAGCGGAGTGGGGTGTTCTTGATCCTTGCTCCTCATCGCCTCCACAAATTAAGTTAAACTCCACGATGCCAGCGCACAAGCGTGTGGCGCTCCTGGAACATCTCGTGGCAACTCCTGAAGATGCGGTTGCCAAACCTAAGATTTTTGCCGAAAAGCGCTCGATCACTCTTGAACAGATTGTCTTGGCAGTTGAAACGGCCTGAGTCAGAGCACTATAGACAGAAAGCTTGAGACGGTGGAGGTTGCCCGGGCGCGTAACTGTCGTCGAAAACGAAGGCGGGCAAGAAAGAAGGCGGAGGTCGCCGTAACTGTCGTCGAAAACGATGGGCGATGTTTCCACATGTGTAACTTACGCTGCAACTGTCGTCGAAATCAAAGGTGGAGGTGGCCTAAGGCCTTCGTCGAAATCAAAATCTGTACAACCTTCGTCAAGAACGAAAGTGGAGGTGCGCAACTGTCGTCGAAAACAAAGGTAGAGGTCTCTTGTCAGAAGTTGGCGCGCACTTGAAGAGTCTGTAAAGATATAGTGGTCCACCTTTGTCCCAAGCGCAAACTCAAGAACTGAAAGGTTGTATATGCCGTGGGAAGCTGAGGAAACTATTGCGCGCGACTCTGCCTCACACGAAGATAAGCCAATGATGTTCTGTTTTCAACTGCTGTTGAATAATGGGCAACGCATGGAAACCTCCTGACGTCGATCTTCTATGGCTTTGGTTTCGCTCCAGTCTGAGTCTGAGAATGTCTCTAGTGTTCACCTTTCTTCACACGGCTTCTTGCGCCTGTGGAAATTTAACCACCATATAAACAATTGTCCATCGTCTTCTTCAAGTATCCTATGAATTTCTTGAAGTGGTGAAAGGACATAGTTGGGTTTGACACGCTTGAAGCCAATTCCTTAACAGTAAACGCCACGTCATACCAAACTTGCTCCTCGTGCGCCGTCAACATCTGTTGGATGTAGTTCCCTGGTTGGGTCCATAGTCCATCTCTTTCCAGTTTGTAGTTTGTACCTTCTCCTCGGGAAATTGAATTCCTCGCAATCTTCTCAATCTCACTCACGCTGGCGTCAAACCTGTCTTGAAACTTTGGAAGAAAGATCTCGTTGATGTATATACTTTGAACAACCTGTGAAAATCAAGTCGTCCACATGAATCGAAATGATGCTCTTCTCATTTCTTCCAAGGCATGAACACTCAGCACTGAACTTGTAATTGAGTTCCTCGGTGAAGTGCCCTGTGAAAAAGTCAAACCATGCTTTTGCTCCAAATCTCTGTCCAGGTAAGTTCCTTTTCGCCAAGAATTCTTCTCCTCTCAAATTCACTGTCAAAGGCTTCTCTTGTGGAACTTGCAGGCATGCGTCCTTCACTCTAGCATCTGCGCTCCTTCTCCCTCTCTTGCTTCTTCTATTCTCTGCAAGAAGATTGTAGGTAGAAGTTTCACCACGTGACCTCAAGTCGCTGGTGAGAAAAAGTCCTCCTTCAGCGAAAGCAGGCTCTCGCGCAACTAGCCTTGACCTTCTCTTTCACCTCTCGCTTGTTGTTCCATGCCCATGGTGGTAAGGCTTCTTTCTCCAATCATACGCATTACACCTGTAGTTAGGGACCGATACCTTCTACTGCCCTCTGGCTGGTCCTTCCTCTTCTTCGTGTTCCTTCACATCTCCTTCTTCTTCCCAATCCTCCTCATCAACTTCTTCTGCAACTGGAGATAGTTCTTCGTCGTCATGATATAGGCGGTCTTCTGCCACCTCCACCAAGTTGGTCTTGGCCTTTTTTGCTTGAGTCATCCGTCTGCTGGCCTAATTTTCTTCATAGGACCCCTTCCTCAAGCAGACCAAATGCTTCCCTTGGTCTCGAAGGCGCCGATGGTAACCTCAGTGAACATGAAATAGGAGTATCTGGATTGGGTTGATCTTTTGCTTGCACTGGCGTAGATGGGACCGCTTTCATCTCCTCGAGAGTTTTCTGCTCCTTACTTGGGGTTCCTCTCCACTTGGCTTTCTCTCTTCCATCTGTTTTAGTGCCTCGCCCGGGAGTTTTGGCGGCGCGGGAACCGGGGTTGGGTCCGGCAGAAGTAGTGGTTCTCCTTCTGAGCCACTTCATACTTCAAGAGCTTTTGCCATTACCGGTTTCAGCATCGTCTCTGAACTTCAACATCACACGCTCCCGGGCATGTCCGCTTGTCCTATTGGCAACGCTTCTGCTCTTCTCTTGTTGGCAATGGTTCTGCCTCCAAAGTTTGTCTGATGATGCTTGCGTGAATAGGAAATGAAGCTTTTGTAGATTGCCAAATGCTTGAGCCAATCTTGATCAATTCTCTGATGCGTTTACTCAGCACTACTTGGACACCATCTGTCAAGACATAGGTATCTTGGCTTTATTGAGGCTTTTGGCGTAACCGTGAACTGGCTCTCCATATTCCGCTACAAGGCCTAGCTCATGCGGAGTGGCACCCTTGAATCGATTCAACACCCAACTGGTATGTCTTGCTGCCCCCAAGTCCACAGTGCATGATCTGATCCTTGATACCAAGCTTTGGCTGCAAGCCTTCAATGAAACTTCCTGCAAGCTTCCTCACTCCGTCAACCATGTTCTCTGACAGAACTGAATGATCTCCAAGCTTCGAAGGATTCAATCTTGTCGTAAGTCCTAGATTGCGACGATTGATCAACATCTTTAGGATTTGCCTCATCCTGGGCTCATTGTCGCTCCTGTAGGTGATTGCTAAATACCTCAACGTCTGACTGAAACTCATCAACTCTTGCACAATGAGATGAAAATGATTCTTGCTTCCTAATGGCAAAACATGAATGAATCCAGTCTGGCTGTCAATTGCAACTAGCCAACATACTGCTCTTGCTGACGTGGTTTCTGAATCACGTCCTCTGGTGTAGCAAAAGTCAAAGCTCACCTCTGGGACGCTTCCTCTCTTGGTTCCATCTATCCTCTCACGGCGATCTGGGCGCGCTCGATCCTCAATGCACTCCTTACACCAATTGGCATATGGTAGGCGCGTCAATCCACGCTTGGCTTGAACAGGTTCATCTGGAATCTTAGCCACACTTTGCCCTGGAGCTTCTCTAGTCTCCTGAGCTCTTGCTTCACTTACCAAACTTTTGGCGTTCAGAAGTTCCATCTTTTTGTTGCGATTGAGGATCTTTGCGTAGACCTTCAAATTAGAGCCGCTACCTGAGATGCCAAGAAATGAGCACCGTGCCCTCAACGTCGCCAAAGTAGAAACCCTAGTCAATTCTACCTCATTCACCAAGACTTTGTCTACGTCCTTTGGGCCCAATTGCAACTCACACTCTAAGTCTTCTTTCTTATCCTCTTCTTTCTGGTCTTCGACCACCTTCTCCGGTGGAGCAGGCGTAATCTTCTCGGTTGCCTTCTCCTCCTCTTTCCTTCTCTTCCTTCTCAAGTCTCTTTTACTTATAGCCTGGCGCGAAAAATCCCATATCCTCTGGCGGCGCTGGCTCATAGCTGAAAATTGTGATGGAAGGAATGATTGCATCATCATCATCAAAGAACTGTTCATCCAGTTCCTCCTTTTTCATCGTGTTTTCACAATATTTAGGCATTAGCCATCTACCCCCTCTCTTCACCAAGGCGGTTCTCATCATTTCTGGTGAACCTTCCACTTCTGGAATGACTGTGGGATCAACAAACTTTGAAGTTAGTAGACTTCCAACTAGCAGTCCACGTTCATTGAACCTCCAATCTGCTTCCCTTTCCAAAGCCTCAGGTACTTGCGCTTCTAAGCAATTCTCATCTTCATCTCGAATGACTCCAATGCGGCCTTGAACTGTCAAAGAGCGATTTTGCAAGTTGAGTGGTACTTTCAAATCACCATTCTCCATGATTTGCTCTCGGCCACTGATCCCCCAACCATGTTCCATCAGTCTTCCATAGCAAAGTATGGGCTGATTCACCTTTCAGTTGACGATCATATTCTCTTTGAGAAGTACTTCTCGTCACGTCCATCAATGTCGCGCAAGAGAATTTCAACACTTTTCGCACTGTCGGTGGGGGTACGATTCCCCTGTGCATCTTGTAGTTGGTGGCTGCGTTGAACTCTAAGTCGCAGGAAACCGACCGGGGCACATGTGCTGTGGGCATCCACCCTAAGTCGTCTGAAGTAGTAAATGTACTAAACCCTTGAAGTTATTAAAATTGAAAAATACCAAATAAAACTACTAAATAATGCATTCTTAGTAATTTTGCGAGAACTCAAAAATGCATCAAAAGTGTGTCAAAAGTGCGGCTCGCCCCTTTTTGGTGTGGAAATAGATGGTGTCGTATGCCCACCCGGAAACCCTCCGCTGCGGCTGCATTCTGCCTTATACGCACACCTCAGCTGCCAGGCAACTGGGCCAGACCACTGGGCATGGAAAGCGACGTGCCACGCAACTGCTTTATGGGCTCCCGAAGGCGACGCGCCAGACAACGTTAGGCATTCTCGCTCGTCGCGCCTCGCTTCTACGTTACTAGCGTTCTTGCTCCTCGTTTCTACATTAAGCTTTCACTGCAGGTCCTTCAGGGCGAAGCCCTTACAATTCTGGAGACAATTCGTCCTCGTCTTGGGAATTCGTCTTCAGGGTGGGAATCATCTTCAGGGAGCAGTTCGTCTTCGGGGAACTTGTCTTCGGAAACGTCTTTGAGTTGGAATTCGTCTTCGTGGAGGAAGTTGTCGTGCATCTGCAGAAGTCGTCTCGTCAAGTGATACCCGCACAGCAGGCACAATGAAAACACCCCCAAACCGCAATGCAGTGGTCTTCAACCCTCAGCCGTTTTGCCCTCGGCGTGTGCGTCTCCTCTGGCTCAACCTCAAAGTGGAGGGAGAGGATTTCGCTCGCTTGGCGCTCGACATGGACGCGTCATCGGCAGCCGGCTTGAAAAAACGAAGTTGTCTTCAGCAGAAAGAGCGTTCACCACTCCTTGGCTTCTGGAAGGAGTGGGAAATTGACTTACTCATTCTCCCACACTGGGGGGGCCGTTGGCGCTCAAGCTATATGCAGAACAACTCCAATTTGTCAGTTCCGGTGCTGCGCGCATCCTCTCAAGAAAGCCTTTCCATCCTGCTCCGTATCGCTTTTCCAATGATGCTTCCAGCAATGGAACTTTGGCCAACAAGGAGTTGTCAGATGAATTGGCAAAGGCGAATGTCTGCGTCTCTATGAGGTGGGGATGGCGATAGTGATTGACCGCTGCAACCGTGGGTGATTCATAGAGAATCTTGCCCAAGCCCTTTACAGGCTGATGATGATGGACTGAAACGACATTGACCAGAGATACGTTGGCAGCATATTTGTAAGCGTTGTCCTCGGGAATATTGGAATACCGAGGAGATGATATGTCCAAGCTCCCTGGTGGGGCTCTTGCAAAGCGGAACTTTTTGAAGAAAATGCTAGCCACAGGACGTCTCCCCTCTGATCTGCCATCCATCAAGCGGGTCACATCTTCTGCTGGCAAATTCACTCTCAAATACTCATCTACATCCAGGCTTGGCAGCAACCATCTTGCATGGCCTTTTGCACGGTAGAGGCAATCATTGAGAATCAGTAGTTGTTGGACGCAAGTATAGCACCAGCATCTCTCTGCAGGCACGTCGAGGTGAACTCTGGTCACTACTCCTTCATCGATGTATGGTTGGTACATTTCCTGCAGCGCTGGTGACATATCGCTTGTTGTGTAAATGATGAAATGATGAACTCCATGCATACGGTGATAGTCAAGCCACTGCGGAAAGCTTTCAAGGCCTGAAACATTTGCACCAGGATCGTTCCAAAGATTTCGCACACAAGCCATCGTCCCATACTGTTTCAGTAAGGATGGCTTGTAGTTGGCATGTACTTGTCCTATGATCTCTCCATTGGGAAGTTCCAGAAAGACATCATACTCTCCGGTCATTGCATCTTCTTTTGGCCAATCACAAGCAAAGATCGACAATTCTGCACGCAAAGATGCGGACAAACGAAGTTGGGTTCTGTGAGATCCGTTTGGTCCCGTGCAGAAAAAACTATGATTCTGCACATACTTCTGGAGGGCAGCAGTATTGTTGTGAATCAAGGCAATGTAGTTGTCCTGGTCCGTAAAGACAGGCACAGCACTCAAGAACTGCAGCTCGAAGTCTATCTCATCCGTGTAAACCTCCATCCGCTGTGACAGAGAAACACTTGCCAAATCCTGTGTGCTTCTCCATGACTGACTTGCGTTGGAAACAAACCTGCTGACCTGGATGAGTGCCTCGTTTTCGGTTTCAGCCACATGGCGCTTTCCGTCTCCACAATCCACGGTCACCAAACAGAGAAGAGCAAAGAACGGGCCATGGAGCGAGAGAGTAGACATGTTTAGATTCTTTACAGTATCAGGAATGGAGCCACTCAAAAAGGCTGAAGCAAAAGTGCAAGTTTTGTTGTCTTCAAGCCAGCGCTTTGGTCGCTTTCAGCAATTCTAACCCACTTACTAAACCACATTATTGCGTGTTTTATCCACATGCAATCACCTTGTAATCTTTTGCAGCTATGGTGCGTTTCTGTCATATCCATGGCAAAGAGTCTTGGCGACACACCTGGAGATCTCGGGGCGTTCCAAGCGAGCAATCTTTGCAATGACAACGCCCGGTAAAGATGCAGAATGATGCAGAAAGCATGGACCACCACAGCATCTTGGCAGTTTTTCGTCTGAGCCTGACCTCTACTCTAAGCCCCAGGTTCACACAAATAGATAATTGAACACATTCTCTTCTCGTTCACACCCGCCTTCTTCCCACAAATGATTCGTGAAACTCGGGGACTCAGGGGGTCTAGTGGGCCTCTGCGGGCGCAAAACCATGTTTTTGGGGGCTTCAGCCATTGCACTGCTTCTTGCTACAAACAAAGTGCACCCTCAACACAAACATGCGTGTTCAAAGGCTCATGATTGTCCTGGTCGGGTCTCATACAAACCAGTCTGCGCGGACCAAATCCAACACTCTCAGAACTTGATCTGCTCAGCGCAGCAGGGTTGACAATCTATTTGCCGCACAGACGCACGGGGTTGCAGGTGATTTCATTTTGCTCGCCGTGGGATGGGACACCATGGAAAAGTGCAAGCAGGGTTCGGTCAAACATTTGTGTGGCGTTGAAGCGTGCTTCAAAAAAAATTATCCCGGCAAGAGACCCCAAACAGTGTGCGCAAGGTCTACAAGCAGAAAGTCTAAAAATCTAGACGCACTGAGGTCCAAAGAGGTGATGGTGGTGATGAAGGTGGGGATCGTGGTGACGGTGGCGGTGGTGGTGAGTGAGTGAGAGTGAGAGTGAGTGTGAGTGCTCACTCACTCACTCACTCACTCACTCACCTACTCTCTCACTCTCTCACTCTCTCACTCCAACTCTCACACTCACACTCACACTCACACTCTCACTCACTCTCACTCTCACTCACACTCATGAGTGAGTGAGTGAGTGAGTGAGTGAGTGGGTGAGTGAGTGAGTGAGGGAGTGAGTGAGTGAGTGACTGAGTGGGTGAGTGAGTGGGTGAGTGAGTGAGTGAGTGCTTGGATGTGCGGTTGGGGTTATAAGTAGTTAGCCTGGTTGTCCAGCTTATAAGTGCACTTACTAACCAACATAGCTTACATACTAAGTCGAACTTAGTCGGACTTAGTGTTGAACTAGTGTTGAACTTAGCTGGACTTAGCCAAGTGGCCTATGTTCAAAATGTTGTACTTAGGTCGAACTTAGTCCAACATAGCTAAGTGCAATTAAGTAGAACACGTTCAAAAAAACACTTGGCTAAGTTCGACAAGTTGGACTTAGAACGCGCCAAAAGTGCTGATACTGTAATAAAAAACAAAAACATAACAATAGTGGAACGAAAACTAAGATAAAAAGGTTGTTTTGCGATGACCATAGATCAAGAAAACATTGTGAGAGCTACAAAAGTTATAGGATCCCTCAGCAAAAAGCGGAACACCAATATATTTTCGGCTGTTGAGTATGTTGAATATACCCGAAACGCAACTGTTGCAGTGGCGTTTTGGGTATATTCAACGCTTTTGACCCTTGCATGAGCATGACACACAACCATTGGAAGTACTATATCCAAATCCAAGTAGGGCTTGGCATTTTCGATAAGATATAGAGTGATCCAAACAATACAAATAGAAAAACGGTCAGGAAGAGTGATCGTAAACAAACAAGCGCATCGCGCAATATATACATTAGAAAAAATGTTAGGAAGAGTGATACAAAAAGTAACACATACAGAAACATGTTAGGAAGAGTGGTTCAAAAAACAACACGGTGCATATACAGTTTTAAAAAACATCTTACGTATAGAAAACAATGTTAGTAATAATGATCCAAAAGAACATCCTACATATAGAAAAAATGTTAGTAAGAATTGCAGTTTAAAGACGTACATATACAGTGGAAAATATTGGGAATAGTGATCCATAAAGCATCCTACATATAGAAAAAGGTTAGGAAGAGTGATCTTTAAAAAACAAACAACAATAACGATATTAAACTCTGCGCGCTTATGCGCCACCATGTGCAACCACAAAATGTGGTTCTTGCAAAGTATGATGCCACGTCGATTACCCAAACAGAAGGCTAATCCATGCAACCAGCTCCAAAGTCTAATATACGACGTTGGATTTGGGCTATGGAGTACTGCATGAAAGGAAACCATATATACGCATCCCGTGAGTTGGATTTGGCCTGGGCGCTGTAAAAATGTCAGATGAAATTCACTGAACACTGACGCAGTTCAACATTGATACATGGCAAAGGCAAAATCACTTCCGGATGTTAGATAATCAAACCTTAGAGTTTTCAAGATAAAACAAGACGATACAACAAACCAATCAATGGTGTCATGCCATGCCCTGAATCCACCTATACTGCCTGTTACACCTGTGTCAGCGAGCCAGTGCAAGGAAACACTGTTGCATTACCACACAATTAGAACACGTGTCTCGTAAGGGTCTCAATGACACATAAACACAGACAAAAAAAACACACATAAACACAATCACATCTGCGTAGAAGAATCTGGCATGGATGGTCGCCGCACACTTTTGTATCCGGCACACGTTGTATCCGCCATTCCTGCGATGGATATAACTCGGCAGCCTGGCAAGTGCGCTCAAGGGGAACGACACGGTTTATCGCTGATGTGCTCGGCTCGGTGGGGTGGAACAACGGATGAAACAAATCACTGCAAACTGGTTGGCAGGGCTTGGCATTTCGGTTTGTTGTGTTTATCTGGAAATCTAGAATGATTATATATAGAGACCCAACAGCTAGGAACATCCTATATATAAATAAACAATTAGGAACAGTGATCCCAGGGATCCCAAAAATGATCATTAAATTCATGGCGCGACCAAAAAACGCGTTTCTTGCGACCAAACAGAAGCCTATAATCATGGACCCTCTCCTGACAGACGATTCAATTGAAGCGCTACATACGTTTCGATGTTTAATTGAGGAACCACACAATTATGTCTCGCCAGGGTTTCAATGACGTGAACTCATGCACCAAACAAGAAACACAAACGAAAAGACATATATACAAAACATGTTTATAGGTCACATCTGCGTAGAAGAATCTGGCATGGATGAATTTCCCGGTCGCCGCAAATGTCCAAACACCTGTCTCCGTCACGTCTGCGTTGGATATAACTCGGCAGCGTGGCAAGTGCGCTCAAGCGGAACGACGCGGGGTGTGCTCGGTGAGATGGAACTATAATGGATGAGCAGGTTGGAACGGTATATACCCTGAAGGGTGGATGGCAAGAAAGATCACCCAAAACCAAACAAATTGCCTGGTTCCGTGCAAGTGTTCTATATATTGCCTCTGTATCCCATCCCGGAGCATTGAAGTGAGTGCATGAAATCAATATCCGCTGTGGCTTTTGATAGACCAGTATCGACTTTTCAATGTTTTGGTTGAACGCTTCGCGCCATTGAAAGCTTCGCGCCATTCCATCGTATGGTTGGATATACAGGTGTGGTTCAAACCATTTGTATATATGTATATATATATACATATATATGCATTCGGGCTCCGGATTCGTGGTGTCTTCAGCCCTCTGCGTCCTCAGGTTTGGTTCCTCTTCAGCCCTCTGGTTCCCTCCCTCTTGCTGTGAGAAGAGCTATATAGTAATTCCACAAGTCGCGCCCGCGCATTTAACATGTCCGTCAAAAGTTTCAATCCTCTGATGTTGCCAGGAGCAACTCCTTCCAGCAAACAGGTCGAGGATTGCGTGAAACAAAGCAAACAACTTCATTCCTCTGATGTTGCCAGAAGCAACTCCTTTCGGCAAACAGGTCGAAGATTTCCGTTAAATTTTTTGAGGCGCAATCTTTACGACTCCGCTTGGCAAAGTTTGCCAAATGAGGCAGCCATTCACGCATGTTGTTGGATACCACTTCTGACTCTTGTCAGGACGCAGTTCATTCACCCCTGACGCTGGCCACACCGACACGCGCGCGAAAGCCTTACCATCTCAACTTTGCCAAAGTTGACTTGACCATCCGTAGCATCCTCGAACAAGACCACGTCTCCAGGCATGCAATACGCACCGGAAATAACAACTGCAGTTCTCGACGTGGACTCAAAACCCGCGTTTGCAGGAGCCGCTTGCAGAGGTGGCTCCAAGTAGCACACGGTGTCTTGTAAAGGGTCAAGAGCTTGGAGCTTCTGCAGCTGCGATAGCGTGATCTCCTGTGCTTGGGTGCAAAATGAATGGTTCGCGTGGAACCCCAAAGAACACGTAAGCCAACAGATGGTCAAAGTATACGCAAAACCTCATAAAACCAAACAAATCAACAATTTGTTTTGTGTGGAACACCAAAAGGACATATATATATATATATACGCGTCAATTAAAAACATATGACATACCGTTGCTGCCGAAGTTCCTCCAAAGTTTTTCTGTCAAACCATGGTCCAGTATTGCGTCAATTGTCTCCATACCTCTTTATCTCCTTGCGCCGTCTCTCGTGGCAGAAGCAGCTGAGGATAAATTTCTGATCCCTCAGGCACTTCCCCAAATGAAGCATCAGGTGATGCTTGGGGACGACAGGTTCGTGCCCATGGGCCTTCACAAACCTCTTCAAATATGTTTGGGTCAAAGTTTCCAACCGACCAGCGTCCACGGCATCTCTCATTGACATATGCAACAGTTCAATCAAATCCATCAACGTCAAAAAACTTTTGGCCACATCGGCGTCAGGGCCTCCTTCAGAATGAACACCCAATTCAAACATATAAGATCTCAAGGCAGCATAAAGGCCCAAGCCGTCTGACGCTGCGCGTGAAAACGAATCGCCTTCAAACTTGAAGGCCCCAATGTGGCTGCGTTCCATCCTTTTTGGCCAATTGAGTGATCTCCTTGCAAGGAGATTGAAAGGAAAGGAAACACGCGTTGCTCCTGTGACCAGCCCCGACAATAAAATTGATTGAAATACATATGTGTTGAAATACATAGTTCGGGTGAAGATACTATTTCGGTTGATGATGATACATACGTATTGATTCATGATCCTATTTGGATTGAAATACATATGTATATGTTATGGACGTTTGCTTTAGCAAAGGGACCATGCAGTAGCCAAAAGCAGTTGCGAACACACAAACCTTTACTTCATGGGCGGCCAGGTATCAGGAACAGAAATAAACAAAGCTTCTGGAGGACAACCTGCCCAGTGCCAAGTTCATCTCCAGCTGGAACAACCCCTGTACCAAAACACATGCATCCAATCGTATTGGGGATCATCTCCGCTGGTTTGAAAACACTACGCAAGTTTTCATCCCACAATACAGAG